CACAGACGCGGCAAGGGACGGTCCAAGTCACGATGGTCTTCATGCAGCAAAGGCGGTGCCTGAGGATCTTCAAGGAGTCGTCACCCATAGGCCCCATAGTAGTTCCTTTTTGGGATTACCTAGTAGGATTCTAAATATGAACCCCCAAAAAGGAGCTACTTTAGGGCCTATAACTAGAGAAACCCTACATTCTACTACAAAGGTACCTAGGACCCTTTCGGGAAGGATGCCGGGCAGGAGAGACAAGGCAAACTCATGGTGGCGGCGACTCTTACGCCGGGCTTTATGGGTAGTTCTCTAAATTAGGGTCCCATTTAGGATCCTTGTTATAAGGGTGCCGTACTATATTGGGGGGAGTACTTCGCTCTTATACACGGAACCCCTGTCTGCATCATGATGATGGTGTGCTTTTCCTGTTGCTGCGGCAACTGTCGCGAATTTGCAGCTGTTGCTTCCTGCATTCCGCGCTGGCAAGGGTCTTTCGGAATGATTACCATACTGGGCTACTGGTGGCAGTTGTTGTATTCTCGGAACCAGCATGTGTGGTTCAAACCTGCAGAAACCTGAAGTCAGACCCTGAACCCATCGTTCGTAAAACTGACCCTAAACCCTAACCCTAAACCCGAAAGCATCGTTCATGAAACTGCGCCTGACGCCGTGCTGCATGGACTCCTTCGCACTGTGCATCGCGTCGGTAGCGACACCGAGCCTCATGAAAAGCACAAGAGCCGAGCAAACTAATACAGGGCCTTAATAATTACTAGACTATTTTAGGGGCTCCCTATTATAACTCTAGTATAATATACCCCACAACCCGATTCTACTTTTAAAGGCCCCTAGATAAGAATTAGGGGATAGCCGAAACTGAAACTACTGCAGCCTACGTCTTTGCCGGGCATGACTTTCGGAAGTTGGGGTGACCACACCAAGGAAGGTAGGTGGTGCTAGTTTGGCGATCTTTCCAATCTCACTTACATCTCAGAACATACCTCAAGCTTTATCGAAATCCAAAACCCCTAGACCAAATTTATGGAATAAAGCCCCATAGCTACCCATAGGCCCCATAGTGGTTTCTTTTCGGGATTCCCTGCAAGGATTCTAAATATGAGCCCCAAAAAGGAACTACTTTAGGGCCTATGGGTAAGCCCCTAAACCCAAAGCCCCTAAACCCTAAACCCTGCAAGCCCTACAATCTACTATACAGGTGCTTGGGTCCCCCTCGGGACCAAGACAAAACTGTGTACGGCACACGGCACCCTGGTTCCCAAATCTGAAAAATTCAGTTTAAAATTCTGTCGGCACCGGATGCACATTCAAGAGGCCATTTGAATTTCTCTCTTGTGTCCACCCTAAACCCTAAACCATCCTCGCGTCTCGATGGCGGAGGTGCCCAACTCCGTGTCGCTGCAGAGCTGCGCATGCAGCGCAGGTGTCAATCTGCAGGTTCGGGCTGTGGCACTTTCTGCGGTGATGGTTTAGGGTTTGGGGTAGTTTAGGGCTTCGGGCTTATAGGGTTTAGGGTTTATAGGGCTTAAAGATGTTTAAAGGGCTTATAAGGGCGATACATCGCGGACATCAAGATGCCGTCGATCGCGGCTGAGACGGCTGCCGAAAAGTCGGCTTCGCCAGAACTCAAGGCAATGGATTTTTGAGTTCTTGAGCTTCCGTACCATGCATGACGTGGGAGTTGCACATGATGACCCTAAGTGGTCCGTGCACCCACACAGTATATACATTGGCCCTAAAGTACCTATATATAGAGACTGCATTACGGCCCAACTATATACTAGTTGGGTACATGGACACTTAGGGTGATGCATCTCACTGATCGACAGGTCTTGCGATCACCGGCCCATTCGCTGTCGCTGAACATAGGGCCCCCAAAAAGCACATGAGCAAACAATAGGATAGACATATCCCGTATAAACCTCCTTATAATGAAGCACAATAAAGTAGCGATATCCCTATAAAATGCTCGTGCTTATGTCATTTCGGGGTCCGTAAGTACATTGAAAATCATTGACACCACGGGTTCTCCGGCAGATGCCTTTGCCAATCTCGTTGGCTTCGTGAGGAATATTTAGGGTTTAGGGTTTAGGGTTTAGGGTTTGGGTTGGTGGCACCCAGGTACCCGACTGCAAGCATGTGCTCTCAACCATACAAAACGAAGCCCTCCACAGGCAAGGCTCCGGGGTTTAAGGGCTATGGCTTTAAAGGGTGTTTGCGTAGGGTTTAAGGCTCAAAGTAGTGGGTTTAGGAAATCAGACTTCGCTCTTCAAGAATCCAAGACTCTTTGGTTGAGTAGGGTTTAGGGTTTAGGGTCTAGGGTTTCGGTTTTTTGCAACCCCAGGTACTTTGGCCCTATAATGGAGCTGCTGTAAGGCCAAACCCAAAGGCTCCATGTACCTTTATCGTAGATACTTAAGCCTTAAAGGGATCCCTATATAGGTACTTTAAATATAGGTACTTTAGGGTCTAAGTATATACTACATGGGCACATGGAGCCTCAGGGGAAAGTAGATACTATGCTGGCACGTGGACTGTCAACATCTCCTGCTTAATTACAACCAACTTAAACTCTTGGAACGTAATTGAAAAGAAAAGCGTCATATGAACCAGTGTTTATAGCTTGCGTGGATTAGAGTTGCTACGGGCTTTAGCGCTGTAGGGCTTAGAGGGTTTAGGGTTTTAGGGTTTAGGATGGTTTCTAGGTTCCGAAACATCCCCTTCAGAATAAGGGTACCCTTGGTCCTGGTACTCAGTTTCAATGAGGGAACCTTTATTAGGGTTTAGGGTTTAGGGTTATAACCCTAAACTCCTAAACCCTGAACCTTAAACGAACCAAGGGAAAAAGGGTAACATAGAGGCCGTAATAATTCGAATAGGGTTTTGGGCCCATTATACTATGATTATAGTAAGGAACCCCCCAGCATAGTTTTGGTAACTATTTTGTCAATTGCTGAGGCCCTAAACCCTAAACCGTTATTGAGGCCCTAACCCCTAAACCTTAAACCCCTTCTGAGAAGCCTCTAAGTCCACGACCTCTTTGCTTGCCTCATGACATTCTGAAGGTTTCGGATGGCCTTCGACAAGTGCGGAGGATTTAGGGTTCAGGGTTTATGAGGGTTTGGGGTTTAGGGTTTGGGGTTTAGGGTTTAGGGTTTAAGGGTTTAGGGTTTAGGAGCCGGTGAGTCAGCAAAAGCTGGCTTTTTGTGTTTATGGGTTTGTGTTGGGGGCTTACAGGTGTTTGTAGCGGTTTGCAAGGCTCTACGAGGGCATCATGCCCCCCCTTTCCTAGCAGGGCCCGTAGCACTCGATGGATGTTGCAGCACTTCGCTTTGCAATTTTGCAACCTGTGACTACTATAGGCGGTCGCGACTGCGTGTTTTCATCAGAAGAGCCACGAACGAAATCAAACTCCTGCTTAATCTGCGAAAAACCGACACACAACACGTTCTTCAGCACGTCTTGACAGCTGTTTCCACAGCGATCCCTCCCCATGAGTTCCAAATTAGGTTCTGTGACAAGTATAGGAAAGCTGATGCGACACCAACATCAATGCACGAGGTTTTCGGGCCCAAGTGGCAAGAGGCAACGGCTGGGAGAACCTGCTGTCGTCCGAAATGATTTCGGAATCCTATCATCTGCGCCTG